ACGTTCAAAATATATCTCTTTGATTGTATTAGTGAGTGTGTTCTTAGAAATATTGCAATGGTGTAGTCAAGCTGAACAAAGGACTAGAAACTAGTTTCCAATATTATTGAGATTTATTACACAAATAATAATTGAATGATGTATAAAAATACCAGAACGTAGAGAGAATTAGCTGAAATGAAATCTAAAGCAAAATGTGAATGTAGAATAATGAAATTTATTTCTTGTTAAATGTTAACATTTCCCTATTTGAACCCAAATATTTATTGAAAAGACAAATGATAGATTAAGTAGAAAGCTTCAGTGATCATTCTATCAACCCTCCAGAGGAAACCAAAAATCACATACATATGTATTTTTATTTATAGAAGAATAATTATTTCACTTCTTTATAGCAAAAGTGTTAAAGAGTAAATCCCTGAAATAATATATTTTAAATATAAGATTCTTAAAAATGTTTATTAAAAATGAGGTATAATTATTTTTCAAATTTTTAAAAATATTTTTGAACAAAAGATTTTTTTCCTTTTTTTGTAGTGAATCTTTCTCTGTTTAACTGTAGACAATTTATTCTTGAGTAGAAAATTTTTTAATACTGATAAGAAGTTACTTAATCTAATTTCAAGCCTTCAAAAAGAATTCCACTGGCATGAAGAGAGAATCTTGACCAAGTTATTGTAAAATATCTACAAAAAAAAAATCACATTATGGTCTTGATTCTGGGCCTAGTATCTAATATACATACAAAACTTCAATTGTTTAGAACATATACATAATGTTTAGTTTAAAAATTAATATACTTAATAAAATAAACTAACTTCCACCTCAGTATAAGATGGTATCTGGGGCTTTAGTAAACAGTGGATGTGGATATGTTTTTAAAATTTTAAAACTTAATGATATTAATCAGCCACCCAGCAAAATGAAAAATTGAATTTTTGGAAAGAAGAGTCATTTTAGATTAAAAACAATAATATTGACAAAATGCACTAAAAATAAAAATCTTACATAGATCTTCTTTACTGTGACATTTTGGCAAAAAGAGTTGGACAATTATTCAATCACAATAAATGAGTTGAGTTCTGAGATGGTATGGGAGCTGGTAGGTGAAGACTTGAGTTGTTAGGAGTCCATTATGTCCCCTTTGCTACACTTAGTGGCAGGACTAGAAAACAAGTGTCTTGCTTCCATGTACTGCAAAATGACTCACCTCTTTTTCTGTTTTATTTTCATTATATGTTTCTATTTTATAACAATAACCACATTTTGCCATCTAGTGAGCTTTTATGCTCTTTTTAGTCACTTCCAAGAATAATGATATGCAGGCAATATTTTTCTATTACCAGTGAAAAGTTCAAGAAATATCATCTAAGAGACAGTTCTTTATCTCTAGTTTTTAAAATTGTTGTAAATAGGTTTATGGATAGTTATATTTATTAATTTTCAAAAATCAAAAAATTGAGATTTCCATAGTGTCTGGATATTACATGAAATTAGATGCACTGGGAGATAATCATGCATTCTAAAAACAATTATATCCAGTCAATTCTGATCTTAGCACAATATACTAAGGTAGTTGTTGGTGCCCTTTCTCACTTGCAAGTAACGTAAAGATGGCCTATTAAACTAAGCAATGGGGTTAGGAGTTCATAACAAATTGGAGAAGATTGATAATTATTTTAAGTCTACTATCTCTTAGATTTTAGTGCAATCACTTCTCTCTATTCTGCAATCTGGGGCAAGACACCTTAAGTTTTTAAAGCAATATTAAAATAATAAGCAGGAAAGAGTTATTGCAATTCTGTGCATCATCTACAAGATGTGTTATACACAACTGTAGCTAACAAAGAATGCCCAGTTGAGTTAGCCACAATTTTATAACAATAGAAGTAAGGTCAAGGCATTTGTTACATTATCAAGCCAGCATATGTAGTTATGCTGGGGTACATGTGACAGAATCACAAGAGAACAGCTTTGACTGTTGAAGTCAATATTCACATCCTCATAATGCAACTGAGAGGTATTATTACTACTTAGTAATTTTTTCTTCTTCCCCTTCCTTTGTGGCTCTCTCATTACTTCTGCAATTATTTAGTATGAATACTGTCATACATGTTGAGACTTCAACATGTCCCACGTTTCTTAAACTTTCTTTTTCCAGAAAAGATGTCACTTGTATGTTATTATGTAAGTTATATTGATTTATCTGCTCAGAGGACTTACTGTTACATAGATTTTAACTTCATTTTGAGAGAATGCTAGAAGCAATGTTAGAGATTTCTTTAGAAGGAAGGCAGAAAGGAAGGTTGCATGCACAGCAAACTTCATTGCTTTTCTTATCATAACACCATTTTTACTCTACCATCTTTACAACCAGCAGAGTCTTTAGTACTTATTCCCACAACATGTTATAAAAACAGCTCATTTGTTTTAAAGCTTTTCACTTCATTTCACCAACTACCTAAAGAATTTTTATTATGCTTCATTTATTTTGAGAGTTGGAGAGAAATTTTGCTCCAAAACCAAGAAAATTTTAACAATAATTCACAATTATTTCTGATTTCTCAGGAAGCCATGCTGTGTAAAAGGGGTGAAATGTTGACTCTAACAGGGTGACTCCTGTTAGAGTCTGAGCAGGCAGTGTGCCCACATGAAGTCCCTGTCTTTCAATGTTCTTGCCATTTCCTAAAAGGAGCTGCAAGGCCAGAATGGAAAGGCCCCCACTTGTGATTCCAGATATCAAAGTATTGCATTTTAAAAGGATAGAAGTCCTATCAACTCATTTCAAGTCATGAAGTTCCTGCTTATTGATGGAAAGAAAAATGTAATGGATATTTAGATAGAAATACAAAGAATTTCTGTTTATTGGTATTATCTATAACTCTGTAAGGTTGGCATTATTATTTGTTCACAGATGAAGAAACTGAAGCATGAGATTAAATGAATAACTTGTCCAAGGTGACACACTGTATGGAGGCAGAATTCAAACATAGGTTTATTCCAAAGTCCTAGCACATAACTGCTAAGCAAAAATATTGATAATACATATATTGAAAAGTTTGATTTTCTCTTAGAGATCCAGGCAATAGTAATTTAAACCCTCCATTCATAGGGAAGAAATATACTTTTAAACCTATAAAGAAGGGGAAAAAACACTATCACCTTCATTGAACTCTAAAAAATAACTCAGTATTCTCTAAACATCCCCAAATAAGTAGAGACCAGAGTCCAGTTATGCTAAATACGTGTCAACTACTCAAGCTCCTCTTACGTTTAAAGGGTTCAATACTGTAGTATAGTTTAAAGTCAGGTAATGTGATGCCTCCAGCTTTATTTATTTTTCTTAGGATCGCTTTGACTATTCAGGCTCTGTTTCAATACTAACAGAGGATAATTCCGGGGAGGCTAAGTCCCCTTTTCTTTGTGATCACTAAGGCACAAGGGGAAAACAAGAAACTATAGAACACTTAATAGAACATTTTTTTTGAAGACAGGGTCTTGCTCTGTTGCCCAGGCTAGAGTGCAATGGTGCAATCATAGCTCACTGCAATCTCAAATCCCTAGGCTCAAGTGATACTCCATCTCAGTTTCCAGAGTAGCTGGGACTATGGACATCCACCACCATATCCTGCTAATTTATTTTATTTTATTTTATTTTGTGTAGAGGCAGAGTCTCACTATATTGCCCAGTCTCAAATGCCTGGGCTCAAGCAATCCTCCTGCTTCAGACTGCCAAAGTGCTGGGATTATAGGCACAGGCCACCATACCCAGCCAGAACATTTTAATGAAATTTTTTTTAATATTTAGTGCTCCTTTGTCATCAATATTAATACATAGGGTATGGTACTTATTCCATGTACTATTTCTTCAGTTAAGATGTAAGTGTTCTTAACTTAATCAGATGTGCTTTGGGAAATAAGCAGCAAAAATGAACAGATAAAATGACTCAATAATTGATTGGTAAACACCACGTAACTATGCAATAATTACATGTCCTGTGAATTATATAGTACTTATAGTTGACATTATTTAGGAAACCTAAGAAATGAACTTGTAATTTGTACTTATCAGATTTGAAGTCCAAACAACCAGTTAAGTATCCTGTTATTATAGAAGTATCCTATCATTAGATACCTGGTCAGTAATAATCACCCAGTTAGTTGCACATATCATAGCCAAAAGCAAAATGCAATTATATCACTGGAACATCAAGAAATAATTTCTCAGTTTAGCACATTTAAGAAGAAAAAATGCATTTAAATATAGTGCCTCATTCATGCATGCAATCATCTGATAAGTGTTCCCAGGGTTATGGGAAGAAGGGGCTTGAGTTGCTCCTTCTCATTATCCAGATCATTCTCAACTCAGATGTCAGCTCCTCAACAAGTCCCTTCTTGGCCTTCCTTTTTAAAGCAGATTCTACCCCAATCTATGCCTCAAAATACCCTCTATCATATTTATCTGCTTACTATAATCATAGCACTTTTCTCTCTCAGAAATTGTTTATTTTTTAAAAATCTATCTCTCCTCAGTAGACTGTGATCTTGTTTTCTCTTCGTTAGATTAGACCCTTTGTCTTTTAAATAACTGTCTCTATTAGGAAAGTAACCACATCTGTTTGTTCAACACTGTAAACCCAGTGTATGGCCTTAGTAGGCATACAGTAACACACTAGAATGCATGTTGGTGAAAGAATGAGTCACTGAGGAGTTATGCAAAGTACTTAGAACATAAAACAAGGCAGATTATCTGCCCCATGGGTTTTACATGTCATCATACTGAATCAATGTGTCATGCACTTTCAAAGTATTTTCTAAAGCAGGTATCACATTTAAAAAAAACAACAACAACAACAACTAAGTTTAATACTTAATTTAAATAGGCAGTTATCCTTAATACTACCATATTGTCTTAAGCTGTTTTTGTCCACTTCGCTTCACATGAATGTACTTTGAATTGTTTACCAACCGTTTCTGACTGTGCACATTTATTTCTACAGACAACAACATTAATTGGTCTTTTGAAGACTGCTCGGCTCCTCCGTCTTGTGCGCGTGGCCAGGAAACTGGATCGATATTCAGAATATGGCGCTGCTGTTCTAATGCTCTTAATGTGCATATTTGCCCTGATTGCTCACTGGCTGGCTTGCATTTGGTATGCGATTGGGAATGTAGAAAGGCCTTATCTGACTGACAAAATCGGATGGTTGGATTCCTTAGGACAACAAATTGGGAAACGTTACAATGACAGTGACTCAAGTTCTGGACCATCCATTAAAGACAAATACGTCACAGCACTTTATTTTACCTTCAGCAGTTTAACCAGTGTAGGATTCGGGAATGTGTCTCCTAACACGAATTCGGAGAAAATCTTTTCAATTTGTGTCATGTTGATTGGCTGTAAGTAGCTTTCTCTTTTGTTGTCTATTAGGATAGAATAATACCTTGAAATGAATATGTCTACAATATTTAGAGTAAGGCAAAGAAAAAAAATTAGAGAAAATTGAGGAGATAATGGAATTAACATATGTGGGTACTGTGTTCCATCAAATCTAAATCTCTCTGTGAAGTGGAGACAGCAAAAGGTCTTTTTTAATCTTAGAAAACTATGGGCATAAAATTGGAGCAACACAGTTTCAGGAAGTGAAACTTGCAGTTCAGTTTCACTGCTATAAAAAGAGTATCTGTAAAATTACCAATGGTTATTTTCTACTTCAAGCTGAGGCTATATTAGAATGGGAAATACTCATTTACACTGCATGATAGATAGATAGATTTACAAACATAAAAAGTATTAATCATATGTATCATCACAGGAAAAACATCTTTCATTTACATGTGTATGTGTATATATATAAATATATACATGCAACATACACATACATATATATGCATAATGTACATGTAATTTTCCCCCATCATTGACAAAACATTTTCCTGTGACCTTATGTCAAGACCTAAGTGATTAGTTAATGTCATGAGCATCATTCGTAACACACATTCTTCGGAATTAAAAAAGCTTTGTTAAAAGAAGTTTTAATGTTATGTATTTATTAATCACACTGTGGAACCACTGAAGGTAAACTTGCTGTTTCCAGGCAGCAATTGGCAAAAGCATGATGGATTTTTATTTTCATTTTTTTACCTTTTTAAAAAATAATTTCAGCTTTTATTTTCGATTCAGGGGGTACATGTGTGGGTTTGTTACATGGGTATAATGTGTGATGCTGAAGTTTGGGGTATGAATGATTCCCATCAGCCAGATCATGAGCATAGTACCCAATAAGTAGTTTTTCAGTCCTTGCCTCCCTCCCTTTATCTCACTCGACTAGTCCTCCATGTCTACTGTTCTCATCTTTATGTCCATGTGTACACATGCTTACCCTCCACTTATAAGTGAGAGCATGTGGTATTTGGTTTTCCATTCCTATGTTAATTCACTTAGGATAATGGCCTCCAGCTGCATCTATGTTGCTGCAAAGGACATGCTTTTTTTCTTTTTTATGGTTGCATAGTAGTTCATATTGTATATGCACTACATTTTATTTATCCAATCCACTGTTGATGGGCATCTAGGTTGATTCCATGTCTTCTCCAACGTGAATACTGCTGCAGTGAACATACAAGTACATGTGTATTTTGATAGAATGATTTAGTTTTCTTCAGGTGTATACCCAGTAACGGAATTGTTGGGTTGAATGATAATTCTGTTTTAAGTTGTTTGAGAAACCTCCAAACTACATTCCATGGTGGCTGAACTGATTTATATTTTCCCCAACAGCATATAAGCATTCCCTTTTCTCCACAGCCTCATCAGCATCTGTTAACCAGATGGTATTTCCTAGGTTTTTCTCTAGGTTTGTTACTGTTTGAGGTCTTACATTTCAATCTTTAATCCATCTTGATTTAATTTTTGTAGCTGATGAAAGATAGGGGTCCAGTTCAATACTTCTGCATACGGCTAGCCAGCTGTCTCCGCACCATTTACTGAATAGGGAGTCCTTTATACATTGCTTACTTTTGCCAATTTTGTTGATCAGATGCCTGTAGGTGTGCAGCTTTATTTCTGAGTTTTCTATTCCATTCCATTGGTCTATGTGTCTGTTTTTTTGTACCACTACCATGCTGTTTTGGTTACTGTGGCCTTATAGCATAGCTTGAAGTCGGGTAATGTGATGCCTCCAGCTTTGTTTATTTTTCTTAGTATAGTTTTGACTATTCAGCCTGTTTTATTTTCTATAAATTTCAAATTAGTTGTTTATAATTCTGTGAAAAATGACATTGGTAGTTTGATAGGATAGCATTGAATCTGTAAATTGCTTAAGGAGCATGGACATTTTAACAATATTGCCTCCTTCAATTCATGAACATGGAATATTTGTCCATTTGTTTGTGTCATCTATGATTTATTTTAGCAGTCTTCTATAGTTCTCTTTGTAGAGATCTTCCACCTCCTTGGTTAGATGTATTCCTAGATCTTTTATTTTTTGACTATTGTAAATGGGATTGCCTTCTTGATTTGAAACATTATTGGTGTATGGAAATGCTACTAATTTTTGGAAATTGATTCTATATCTTGAAACTTTACTGAAGTCATTTATCAGTTCTAGAGTCTTAGGGTTGTTTTTAGGTGTAGAATCATATTATCAGCAAAGAGAGATAATTTGACTTCTTCTTTTCCTGTGTGGAGGCCTTTTATTTCTTCCTCTCGCCTGCTGGTTCTAGCTAGGACTTCCGGTGCTGTGTTGAATAGGAATGGTGAGAGCGGGCGTCCTTGTGTTGCTTCTGCTTAAGGGGAATGCTCATAGTTATTCTCATTCATGATATTGGTTGTGGGTTTGCAATAGATTGTTTTTAATATTTTGAAGTATGTTCTTTCAATGCCTAGTTTGTGGAGGGTTTTTATGAGGAAAATATCTTGGATTTTAAGCATGATTTATTTCTAAAGCTTCAAAAAGAACATCATCCTTGGATTGCATAGAAAGTTGAAAATAGATCCTAATAGTTGATTTTTAAATGTCAATATGATAATAAAATGTGCTTAGATAAGTCTCTATTAATGAAATTTAAATAAATTCACCAAGTTCATTGTCTATTTTATATAAAACGTACTTTTCATATTTTTTAGTGTTTTTATTTTACTAGCATTTGTATAAGCAAATTACAGTTCAATAACTATTGAGACATTCTATAAATTCATCCCAAGTCTAGGCTTCAAACACAGAAGTAGCACAGTACTTAGAAAGAAATGGAAGTTGAACCTCCTAGAAAAGAATAGAAATATGCATTCCAGAGAGACTGAACACAGAACACAGTTCCAACCATTTTCTGATTACAACTACTGGTAAATACTTTGTAGGGTCATCAGCTTTAGTGGCATACGTATCAAACAAGGAAAAAATTGGTCTTAATTAAACACATATATAGCAAAATATCTTTTTAATAAAATAGAGCTTGTAATTTGAAACTTAGAATTTTTAAGAAAGAGTTTTAAAAATGCACTTTAGCCAGTTCACCACTTAGTAATCCACAACACTTGTGAGGATTTTGTACTGCTGTACACAGTCAGCAGTACAAAAACTGTCTTTGCAAATAGCAGCTTTTAAAAATGCATGTAAGTATAAAAATCTATATGCATTAGATATTTACTATTTTCATTTAATGTTTTATTTTTAGTTTCCTTAAATTATATTGCTATGAGATAAAAGGTTGCTTGCCTTGTTTTCTACAACTTAGCTTCAAATTTTTCTTTTAGAATAAAGAGTAAAGTTTAACTCAGGGATGATGGGAAAGTTCGATCTGATAACCACATAGTTGTAATTAGTGTATATACGATCTTTTATCACATTTGTTGTTCTTTTATTTTTTTCGGGCTGAAAGAAGGCCACTAGTGGGTCTGAGGAGTATATGCATAGATAAAACCATACCATTTTCAAATATAGTTAGATTTTTGAGTACATAAATTTCAGTATTCTTATTATTGCTAAATTTCAAGTCCCAGTTTTACTCTTTATTTATGGCATAATAAGTCATGGTTCAGTTCTTCAGGAGTACCTATAAAGTATTTCCTGCATGATATACAACTTTACATAATCCCATTTGGATTAAGGTATATAGAACCAAGTCTTTTATTCAAATAAATGATGTTATGTGGAATGTGGCTGTATCTTACTATAACCAGTTTGACTAGAGTGTTTCATTTTTTTCTTAAAAGATGCTGTTCAATCTACAGAAAACATGTATTATTCTTAATAAATCAATAGAAATAGTCTAGTGCTATATTAAAAAGGAAAGAAGGGAGGAAAGGAAGAAAGGAAGGGGAAAGGAAGAAAATTGCCTGCAGTTCCCTGATTGAGGGATTAGAGATTAGGTGTAGAGCGAGTAAAGAACTGAGCTGCCTTCAACTTAAAATAATCCACATGACAAATAGCACTATGTTTATTACAGAGAACAGTAATCAGATAATACATTTTAAAGTGTATATAATTCAAAATAAAAAAGGGAAGACTGTGAAATCATTAAATAATTATAAATATAAATGATGTTCATGTATTTATACCTGTTTTCTAACAGAGCATAATTTTATACCTTAAATATCATAAATAAAACATATATATTTAATTTTTTAAAATACATAAATCTGTAAAAATAAAGTCAAATGTATTTCATCTCTGACCTGCTTGACAAACATCTTGATGGGGAGAATTTCTTCTTTTTGTAGCATATAAAAAAAGTTATTAAAAAAAAAGTTACTGGAATTCTGCTTCCATTTATGACAGAGTTACTAAAACCTTACTCTCCTTCTATTAAAAACAAACAGAAAACTGAACAAAATACATAAGGCAATTGTTTTCAGACACTGGGAAATTAATAGGGAAGTTTGATCACTGAAAGAAGGAAAACAAACGATATGGGATACAGGTTACCTTGGCTTTCTGCCTGGAGGCACTTTCTGGACCACAGTGAAGAGAGAAGGAATAAATAACCTAAGCAGGCCCCAGCAGTCTTACTGAGGGAAAAAAACTAAAAATTAAAAAAAAAAATAAATAAAACCCACCAAGATCAGAGGTCATGGAGGCTAAGATGCTGGAATTTGCAAAACAGACAACTGGAGAAGTAGTTCTGGAAAAAACTCGAGAAACCTACACAGGTATCCTTTTGAATCTACTGAAGAATACTAAGTCACAAATGCATGGGGTAAAACTCCCCAAAACTTGGCAAAAAAATACCAGAAATACTATAAGCTGAACAATTTCCAGAGCTCGCATAGATGTGGGAGATTTTCAAATTTCACCAGCAGAGTGGAAAACCCTTATTGAATATGCAGAGTATTTGGTAGAAATCTCAGAAAAAAATAGTGCTGTAGTACTAGGGCTAATCTGGCCCCAAAAAAGCTTATA